TGATCCCAGAAAATATATTTACAAATATAAGGGTCAGCAGATCAAAATAAATTAACTCCAAGACAAAATATGAAGATGTGAACTAGTAATATTACTGAAATTAATATATTTTAATTATTTTCTACATTTTTAAATGAATTTAATACTATTTAAGCAGAATATCTTTGGAAAACGTTTAGAAATTCACTTTACATTAAAATTGAATGAATTAGGAGTTTTTGTATTTTGGTCTGTTACTTATTAAATTTGAATCATTTCACGGAAACTAAAGTAAAAGAATATTCAAATAGAATAAAGGGCGAACTAAGTATTTACATTTATTAACATTCACTCATTAATAAGAAATGATTGCAGACTATTAAGAATTACATTGTTCACAGGAGGATCCTGAGTATGTCTCAAATTGTGCTATTTGCAAGCTTAGGTCTTGAAACATTTCTTCCTCCCGAACCGACGATCGAATGCACTTATTACCTCTAATGAGTGGTTGACGCACTTTTTTGTTTATGTTTTGAAATATTGACAGAATTGATTGGTCATTAATTAGAATAGGTTACGTCACCAGATTCGAAGGTTGTAATTTTAGAACCTAGCCAGTAAGCAGAAAAATCTGAACAGGCGAACAAAATTTACAAATTAGTGACGAAATTTATAGACTCTCTAATAGCGCTGGCAGAATATGTTGAGAAAATGTGAATATGTAAACATGTAATATAAATAAATGTATGGTTATGAAGTGACTTATTTCTAATCCCAATTTTTTCTTGGTTTCATCTTTGTTGGGATTTATCGTGCGGGCCTCACTGTATTATCATATATCTCGATATAACCCTGTTCGTACGATTTGCACTTCTCTAAGCTTTTAGTTTTAAGGAATAAACTCAAAAATTTCATTAAAACTGGATTTAGCCGGCCTAAACTCGTCATGAAGTATTCGGTATAAGAATTACTAAATTATGAAATCACGATGTCGTAGTATGTTTGCTTCAGCTGTATCACCACCATCTGGTTGTAGCAACAAGAACCAACATGTGCGAGACCAGTTAGTAGCATACATAGCCAGCAGAAAGCAGCACTCCAGTACGGTAGGTAAGTGGACCTCCGTCATCTGTGGCTTGGATCGCTTTCTCACTCAGCTGTCCGCCCTGATGTCCAGGTCGAATTCCTCCTCCACGTGAGAATTTCTTCCGGGTTTGGGTCGGGATCTGCAACAGATAATATCCAAGAATGTTAAGTGGAGCGTAAAATTTGAGTCAAATAACGGATGCCGTCTTCTTTATTTTCGAATTATTCTTGTTCTTATTACGATAATAATTACCCTGTTATTATAGTTCAATAATAACTAGTGGCTTGGAGGAGTAAAAATACTATTAATGAAAAACCACACCAAAACGATGTCCAAAATGTAGCACGCACACTGCTCAAGGCACCAAATAAAATACAATTAAATATTTAGTACACCATATTTAGTAAAATTTTCTTCGAACGTTGTAGTTGGCGAATGAGATGCATATTAAACTTTAAGTTGACATATCTTTTGTTTGAATTGTTTTTCTGCGCCGGGAATGGAATTGGCCCGGCTAGGGCTGACTAAGTGCAATCTTTTTGTGAACCCTTAAATACTATAACGTATGTATGAAGATTGCTCCTTCTTCAGAGAGTGTCCTCTGCTTCGAATGTACACATTTGTCTCTGGCCATGACACAACTAATCCATATCTCGGGGTTTACTTTCTGATTACCACACTTCCACAGGGAATCTTCGCTCTCTTAACAAGCTCGGAAAATAAGACGGTTTTATTCGTGACAATCCTCATAGATGTACTTCACATGGATAAAGAATCTCCTGACAGGAGAGCATCAGACCGATTTACCGTCTACAAAATGTAGACGTTTGCTGATTGTACAGCTGTGTGTAGGGGTAGAAGGCGCTCACGAGGGACCTACAATTCGAGTTAGGCTCTTCGACCGCGCGTATCTCAGAAACGGTGAATTCTAGGCCATTAAAACCCTATCTGAGAATCTCAGAAGGGGTTGCGTTCCTTAGGATGTGATCTACGTAATGAGACCTTTTTGAATCTTTCATTAGTTTCAGTTCTTGTGGGTACCCTGCACTTCGTGTGCGTGCGTTTTCTTTTCAATATCGATGGTTGTTTTAAATAAGTCCCCGGACAGCGCCGGGTATCCAGCTAATATGCGTGAAAAATGGGTATCGTTTTTATATATGCAGTCTCTATATTATTACATAGCTATATTATGTATAATACATTCACTTTATGCAATAAATGGACTCAAAGCCCACAATATAATTTTATATAGAAATAACCACTCTGAAGATCCAAGTTTCTCTGCAAATTCACAGCATTGATGTAGTGTGGATAAATTAATTTCCTTGTGTCTGTGTAGTTAATTAAGTTATTTTAATGTCCTTGATTATAAATAATGTTGGCATTGTTATTTTAAATACTCCTTTCACTTCATGAAGTGGTACTTGTACATACAACGATTTCGTGTTTTTTGAATGTTCACTTTTTGAAACTTTCATTTTACTTTCTAGCCTTACTTTGTAAGAAGATATTGTATTGCACTGGAAATTGGCAAATTTTCTTCTAAGTAAATATATATATATATATATATACATATGATTACATATGATAAGTCATGATTCTATACGTAGTAAATTATTTCTTCTAACACGTTGTGTAGTCAGAATCTGTTTTGAGAGTCCTTGAAACCGAAAAATCAGTTGACGGCCTGAACTGTTCAGACAATTTTCTACAAAATAAATATTCCCCGCTTGATCTATTCTCGATCTGTAATTTTTATCTAATAAATAATAAAAGAGGAGTATTTAAAAACTCCTTAATATGATTGTATACACATTATTTCATTGAATAATTAATTATTATTCCTTAGATATTCCTGCACTTCAAATATTTACCTACAGACAAGTCATAGCTTATCAGCTAGTGTATGATAGTAAAGAGCACCGACTGTTTCTCTCTTGAGATATGCTGTTTCAAACGTATCCTGTGTGATGAAAGCCATGGCTAATGTAATGAGATCACTCGTGATAAAGAACAGACGCCACATTTTCAGCCTCTGAGTACCAGAGCTCAAAGTCGATCCAGGTGGGATTTTTAGGGCCACTAAGCGTTTGCGCCGTTAGCAACAGTTTTGCTCGTGGCACTTCCTTTTCACTCATTGCACTAGCAATATCGACATCATTCACTTTTCAATGGTGTCATCATTATCATCATTATAACCACCATCTCCATCTATCCAAAGATCTCAGAATCGACCGAAAATATATCGTTACTGTGGATAATAATACGCGTTAGGACTAATGTAGACGCAACCATTCGAGTCTCGAAGGCGACTAATTCCCATCATCTCGAAGGCGTGAATTTTCTCCAACACCTAAGATGCTGATCACTTCAAGAGACTTACTGAAACGCTGCGTTTGTCGGCGAGGTTCTCTCCAATACAGTCTTAGCCGATGCCAAGGCTATCTTACATAGCTGACCACGGATCGCACGCGATCTTATCTTCCTTAATCTGACATCACTCCATCAGTTAGTCTCGGGATGGCGACTAATTCCCATCACCACGAGGCATATCTCCCATGATCTAAAAAAAAATCCTCTGGCATTACTGAGCGTTTGCGGATAACAAATCAAAACACTCGAGAGTCACTGTGGCAGAGAAACAAAACGATACCGTAATCAAGTCGATAGATGTTTCCGGGAACGTACACTGTTATGATCATTAGTCCCGTTAGTATAGTGAATGTTTTATACCGAGAAGTGGCGGCGTTTCGCCCCCAATGGATGTTGACTGATTCCGGGCGCGTCATTTGCTAGGATCATGTGTCCTGTAAGAGCAGTGCATGTTTTCACCGTCTTTTTCCTAGGTGACGGTATCGCCTCCCTGGATGGTGAGATCCGGCGCCGACCTACACCGCGGCTAGCTTGTTTTTTCCCGAACCAGGTATCTCCCACCAGAAAGACATCGCCCCAGCTGGGACAAGGTCTAAACTCTCGGCATGTGTGGTATAGTGAAGTTTATGAAAGTGTGTGTGTAAGAAAAAGATGAGGAAAGGACAAGAAAGGGGAAGGAAAGATCGTGCCCGGTCCGTGGCGAGTTTGTTAGGCTACTGCTACGGCAATCGCCTGGTATTGATAAAAACACACGGAAAACTATCGATTGGAACAACCGGTAACTATAATTGTCCTCCAGACAGCAACGGAATTTGATCTAGCCAATGGATGACGAGATCCGGCGACAAGCTACACGACAGCTGGCGGGGGATTTCCCCATCCAGATACCTCCCCGGTGATGCACCGCCTCAACCGGGGCGCGCTCTAAGCTCTCTACTTGTTTTCCAACAATAGAGAGAGTATAGTGCGTGTAAATTGGTATGTGTGGGGGTTTAGAGCAAATAAGAGAAATGATCGCGCGCGGTCCGTGGCCTGTTCTGTTAGGGTGCTGCTCCGGCATTCACTTAGTAGTGATCAGAGAAACCACCGGTCAGAGAAGCCGCCAAGAAAAGTACCGATCAAAGCAGTCGACCGTTGGAATTATTCTTCAGAGAATTGCCCTAGCTACGTAGCAGGAATTAAAAAAATGCCACCGCCGGGTCTCGAATCCTGGGACCACCCGGTCTGAGTCGCTGCAGAATCAGCGGCTCAGCTAAATTCACTCGAATTCACATCTCATATCCCATATAAAGGCAGTTTTGTGAGTTGTGATAAGCCTCGACGCTGTACTAGCCTTCATAATTATGAACACATTCTGGTGCACATACTGAGTATGCCAAGCTACTCTCATTTTACTCTTTTCCTTTCCATCGTTCTGCGTCTCTCCTTCATTGGTAACCTCCAAGGCACAGCGTTTCACCTCTCCTCCTCGTTTTTCGTTCCACTATTATGAGTCACTTGCAACAAGGACCACTTATTTCTTCGGCACGGAAGTATTCTGAACGAGTCAACTTTCTTTCCAAGTGCCGGGAGGGGATGTTCGTGTATCCTTAACCTAGAAAAGAAAGTCGCAATAAAATTCTTTGCGGGAGCTGTCTCGTAACTTTTCAGTTATTCAATCTTCTTAACACGAGGAAGCGGTACGCTTAGATATGTGACGTACCTATCGCTCATTAAATATACATATCTCCGGAATTAAAGAAGAAAACTACCTTTTGAAGTGTTTTTAAAGCATTAAGTAAACTATATTAAAAAGTGTAATATATTGACATTCTTTTAAAACAACTGTAAAAATAAACACATTTATATAAAAATAAAATTATTTATTTTCATAACCATTAGGATAGGACATATCTCGTAGGCGAAGTAGCGTCTATTTCCAAACGTAGTGCAGTTCAAATAATACAAACACTTCAGTTTTCATAAGCGTTAAAGCAATTTATTTTATTTCAGAGTTCTTTAAAATTTAACTATACCAGTGTCGTGCATGAGCAAAAATGCTGCTGCACAAAACCATTCAAATAGTTTTGAAAAACGTAGGACACATATTGCCAAAGAACTACAAATATAATATTCTCGTGCAATATTGCAGTATATTAAAACATTTAACAAAAATATTTTTCACGAATCACAAGCGAAATATTAGGAGAGGTGGCTCAGGGCATCAATGGACGTCACTTCAGAGCCTCTGACTGGGAGGTCCTAGGTCCGAGTCCCGACGATGGCAGGATTTTCGACCCTAGCTTGTCAGCTACCTCGAATTCAGTCGCTGCCCGGAGGAGAATTCTAGCGGTCAGCTGCTCTAATCGGTAGTTTTCCGAGGATTCACCAATCAACACCAAGCGAATGATGGTGCAGCACCCAAACAAACGTGTCACGGACCGCGTGCGATCTTTCCTTCCTCTTCCTTGCCCTCTTCTCATCCCTTACACACACACTCACTCACACTAACATGCACTACGCTACCCCACATACCGGGAGACGGGACGGGAACTTAGAGCTTGTCCCGGCTGGGGCAGTACTCCGTTGGTGGGAGGTACCTGGTTGGGAACTAAGTCTAAAGAATTAAAAAAGAACTACTCTAACTACAGTGTAAATAACCTGTAACAAGTATTGTACTTCAGCTTCTGAGTCAATGACCCCCATCTCGATCAGGTTTTCGTCCAGTTTCCCTGATCCTTGAGCAAATGCTGAGATGGCTCTTGATTTGCTTCTGGACATAAATGTAACTTCAATTTAACTTCTCAATGTAAATTCTCAACTTAACGTCACACACAACTGTTTTTGACGTAAATAAATAAACAAATAAACGAGAGAAGCCACGCTACGCGACGGTAAGTCGGCGCCGGATCTCGCCATCAAGCGGGGGAAGATCAGCGCCACCTCCTGAGGAAAAAACATGCACCACACTTATGGGACTAACGACCTTAGCAGTTGACGCGTCACTTCCAACCAATCAACCATCACTTCCATCACTTCCAACCAATCAACCACTTCCAACCAATCAACCACTTCCAACCAAACAACCATCACTTCCATCACTTCCAACCAATCAACCAGCGAAACACCCGGAAATTACCAGCGAACTGCGTGCGGAGTACCCTCCAGCGATTCTGCCGGGAGGAGCTGAGAACGAGCGGTATCGACTATTCCCACGCACGATAGGGACGGTATCGATTTTAGAGGCAGATAAGGAGCGCGTTCCCCACCAGGCTGCAAAAGCAAGCTAGCGAGAACAATCGATAAACAGAATGTGTTTTGTTCGACTCGAAGTAATGTACAATATTAAGGAATTTACTAGGCTGTCCGGGCGACGCCGCGTCCACGGCGAAGGTACCGAGACGTTTCGGTTGCCATTCTGCGACCTTCCTCAGGGCGTGATGCGCGGAGATGTACTGCGCACGAGTTTAAATCGGGCTCAGTTTTGGCACCTTCGCCATGGACGCGGCGTCACCCGGACAGCCTAGTAAATACTGACTGCGGCCGCGGACGCCTACGCTCTAAATATTAAGGAACATACGAATGTTAGATTGAGAATTACTTAAGTACATCCAGTGCTGCGAGTACAGGGGGACATTTTCACAACCCTTTCCTTTTTCTCTCTTATCTCTATTTATCGTTTATCCTTTTGCTTTCTGGCGCTTGTAAAAGTTGGGGGTGTTTCTGTCTGCCAAATCGTATCTCTCGAGTCGAGATATTTTGGAAGCAAATTCTTAAGGCAACATTTAAAAGGACACAAATTTTGTGATTTGGTTCGCAGCGAAAGTTTTATTCCCAAGGTCAACAATTCAGTGACATTAATAGTTGCAAATACGGTGTACTAATGAAGTTTATAATTGAAAAAGTCTCTGAACAATAACCTGTTGATCGATTGGAAGTCGTGTGTCCATAAGTTTGAGATAAACCCTACGAGAAAAAGAGATTAAATGCCTTTCGTGTGTTCAGATAATAGGTTGTTTTTGATACTACGAACCACACTTTCCTGCAAACGGATTTCTTCACCTCTATTTTCTTTAACTCCCCATTGCTTCCATTTTCTATCAATTACTTAAACTTACTTAAAAATTGTTTTCCTGAAAGGTTTGCAGTTCATGCATATGAAATCCTTCTTCATACTTATTCATGAGACCTTACTGCGATTTTCTTTTATGGCCAGATCTTATTTAACAAAAAAACTACATGTGGTCATTTATTTCTAATCTGCTTCTTTACGCGATTTTAAATTTCAAAAATATGTTACTAATATATTTTAATAAGTCCTCTTACTTATTTAATTGTTATAAAACCCGCTTAAGATTTATATTAATGTTGTAAATCTTTGAATTAGATATGATGAGGGCTCGTAGGCATCCGGCATCGAAGATGTCATTCGTAGTGTCTGGACAAAGGTTTAATCTTGGTTAAATGCTAATCGTCGATCCGGATAGCTGAGATCGCTAAGGCAGTAATGTCGTGGCGATCTCAGATCGCATGTTCGAATCCCGCCTCGGGCATGGATGTTATTGTGATCATTCCCTCACCATCATCCTATCACTTCATTAAAGAAGAGGTTGATATTTCCCTGCGCGCGTAGGAGGTCCTTGCCCTTAATGGGATATGCAGATGGGGGAGGGGGGAAGTGATCTTGGCTGTCCGGGTGACGCCGCGTTGAAAAGGCTGTGTTGCCGACGTTTCGACCAGTCTTTTCGTGAGTTCCCTCAGTAGGGCATGGTTAACCTGCCCGCAC